ATTATCAATAACAACACTAGTTTATGTCCGCGACTTCGTCTGCATTGTCTTAAATATCAATGTTGTTATATGTTTAATATGTATATATTAATGTAGGTCGTGTGTGTGTGTGTGTGTGTGTTATATATATATAACTTGTAATATATAACTGGTATATATACAGGGGTTCACACGAGGTCAGAACACAACTACACACCCTGTATATATACAATTATACATCATGTTTTATTACCCATGAAGACATAGTCACTGTAATTTGAAATATTTATCCCTTTTCAGTCTCATTATAGCTTAGGTCGTGAAGTTATTGTTATATAAATATTATTAGTTTTCTGTAATATTTTGTATATTTGGACTTTTTTATAATTTATAGTACTTTGTTATGTGTGTTTAAAAAAAGGTTGTTCTGTTTTTGATCCTTATACGTGTTTTATTTTGGATTTTAAGTGGCGAAGACGATTCAGGTACCGTTTTTTTTTTTTGGCAATACGTGTAAATAATGTATTTTAAAATAATTCTCGTTAAGTGTAAACCTAAAAGGTGATGTATTTTATGAAGGAGATAAAATATGTAAAATTTGTGTAAAAAATAATTAATAATTTAAATATATTTGTTATATACGATTTTCGTGTACACATTAAAGTGAAATTTAGTTTTTCGTTTACTACGCGTTAAACTTTCATCTAGTCTTCGTGATCACGGTTGCTGTAAAGGAACCGAAACGTTGAGATCATGTAGTTATACAGGGTGACTGGTGAATTACTATCGATACTTGAGGACGTGATATTTGACGATCACATATAACAAAATAAAAATTAATATAACATAAATATTAATAAACTTCTAAGTAAAGTTAACCAAAAGTTATGTAATTAATTACGCATCGTGTGAACACCCTACAGATTAGGTATACACACACACAGACACACACACGCGTGTGGCGGCGTGGTGTTGTATCAGCACTCTTTTTCTCTTTATATTATTAAAAAAAAATAGAGACGAAACGAAACCTCTCATCATTCAATGTATTCACGGTGCGTGTGTCGGGTCCATCGTTGTAGTGAGAGGAGCTTCAACAGTGACTGTGACTTGTGACCCAGGTGTAGGTTTAATATATATAGAGAGACGAAACCTCTCATCATTCCATGTATTCACGGTGCGTGTGTCGGGTCCATCGTTGTAGTGAGAGGAGCTTCAACAGTGACTGTGACTTGTGACCCAGGTGTAGGTTTAAGGGACCCGATCTAACGCGTTAAACGCTCACCTCCACCGTCCAAGCTCCTCTCTATACCTGACCAAATTTGAAAAGTACCTACTATGACTGCCTTACATTAATTTCCAGTATAACATAGTATATAAATTATTTTTTATATGTTTTATTTAATTAATATTTTTCTTTTGTAGTGATTATTATGGTGACTACAATAGCTTCAGATCAAAAAAATCCTATTGATGGTGAGAAATAAAAATATATTTATAAATAAAAATATAATATACGTGTTACCTAGACGTTAGGTTACATATCAACATTTAATTAAATTTTTTATTATGTATTTAATTAAAATACAATTATTTTTGGAAGGTAGAATAAAAGATATCTCAATAATTTTGAAACGATTTAATTGTGAATGAAATAATATATTATATAACAACATAAAAATAAGTTTAAATAATACATTTTCAGTAGGCTTATAAAATGTACTTTTATTACGTGTTCTCTATTTATTAAATTGAATGAAAAGACATACAGACATACTTTCAAGTCAGTGGTGGTCTAGTGGTGAAAGGGCCCGCCTCTTATACATGAGCGCGCGGGTTCGATCCTGGCAAGTACCAATGTGATTCTTCCGAGTCATATGTACTTTCTAAGAGTATTTAGACATCACTGATTAATGCATTCCCAAAGAGGGTTGATGTCAGGCAGGCGGCCGGTCGTAAAAACAATTAGCCAAAACTATTCACAACATGTAACGCAGACCTTGGCTAAAGCTGGGAAATTGCCAAATAGAAGATAGGACATACAGATATAATCATTAATATTATTATTATTAAATAAATTTCAGTTACAGCTAATTCGTCGTCTTTAACATGGTCTGAGTTATCTGGTGAGTGAAGAAATATTTTTATTAAGAAAAAGTTATAAATTAAAAAGTTTTAAAGATAAAAGAAAAAAAGGTTAGTCAAAATATTGATATGAAAATTAATTAAACAATGAGATCTAAGATTTTCGTGAGTATTCATTTAAATGAAACTAATATTTTTACGGTGATCACGGTTTCTGTAAAGTAACCGAAACGTCGGGAGTATGTAGTTTTTTATAAAAATCGCGTATTAAATCCGAAAAATATTAGTTTCATTTAAATGAATAAACTTTACCGAAATCAATTTGTGTTAGCTATAACAAATATTTCATGAATATAAAAATTCCATACGATAATTTAATAATATATTAAGATTTATTTTGGTAGATGCAAACAAGCGCCTGTTAAAACTTAATAACAATGACAAATTACAAATATTTTTCGTAACTTTAGAAGGAGATAATATACAATACTTATATAGCAAACTTTATAGTAAAGTCTAAAAAACATTAATAGTTTTTTATTTTGTCTTATTAAAATATTTCTATAATAAGAACTACAAACTGTGTTTTCTTTAAATTTTAGCCAAACTTATAGGATACTTTGTTTCAGATCTTGAGAAAATTTTAATTTGTACAAACTTCATCACTATAAGCCTGTTAATTCTACAGAGCATTTGTTTCATTATGTTCGCAATTAAAGGTAAGCTAATAATTAAATAATTAATTAAATTCTACAAGCTTAATTATGAATTAAAAATCATACAAATGTTATAAATTTAGATAATGCGAGCAACGCCTTTTATTAACTGTTATACGAAATAACAAAGAATTCTCAGTACAAATTCAACATATTGAATGTACTGTCTAGATATTATGATAATGTTATGTTAATAATATGATAATGATATATGATGAAAGTCAGTGATGGCCTAGTGGTTAAAAGGCCCGCCTCGCATGCACGAGGGCGTGGGTTCGATCCTGGCAAGTACCAATGTGATTTTTCCGAGTCATATATATTTTTAAGAGTATTTAGACATCACTGATTAATGCATTCCCAAAGAGGGTTGATGTCAGGCAGGCGGCCGGTCGTAAAAACAATTAGCCAAAACTATTTACAACATGTAAGGCAGACCCTGGCTAAAGCTGGAAAAATCCCAGGCAGAAGAAGAATCTTATCTTATATCTTTAAATGAGCAATTCTTGTATATATTGGTATATCGGAATCGGCTCCAACAATTTTCATGAAATACATCGATCTAGCTAAGAATAATATTTAGAAAAAAATATTTTGTTAAAAGAAAAATAACAAAAAGAAGTCGGTTAAAATATGACTTTTCCTGACATCTATTGGCGAATAGTAATAGTTTTTGCTAATTGCTTTTACTAATTGCTTTAATGACACAACAGCAGATGGCGTTGTTAAGTACCAGGAAGTCAATGAGTGTTTGTTTTGAGGTTAAACTAACAAATTAATTATTGATTTATGGGTGAATATACGCTATTTAAATTCCATATTGGTCTATAGACACATTTTATGTAAAACTTTTTATATCATTGTCTCTTTATGCTTAAACAATAAAGAATATGTCATTTTATCCGGCCCACAAAGACTATTCACGATAATTATATAATTATATTTTTAATAATTTAAAATGAACTTATGGCTGAATACTTTCAAAAAGTACACAATTATCTTTTTTATTTAATATACATCGAAACACATTTTAACAAAGTTAAGAGTAAACATATTGATTAATATAAAATAACAACTTATTTTCGAGTCATGTTACAATACTGTCATATCAAGATGTAAAAATTTATTAAAAAAGAGGAAAGCTAAATAATATGAGCAAAATTTAAAAAAAAAATGGATAGTTTTCGTTAAACTTTCGGAAAGTAATTTTGTGCCAGTCGTTGGGGTATTTCCTTTGGTAAGCGTATGTATGTATTTATATTTTGTCGGTTCGAAATCGTTAATTTCTATAATCAATGTTTATTTTCCGTAGATGTCATATATTAAGTGCTGATGTAAGAAAAGCGAGTGATGTTAATTTGTAGACGTAAATGGATGTTTTATTTAATATTAGTCAACTTTCTTAGGTAATAATAATCAATGGTACGACAAGATGATTTGTTACTATTCTGGTAACACATTTCCCTCTGGTACTAATAAAACTGAAAACAATTGAATAATCGTCTGTCCCCTATGATTACTAATTTTTAAATAGTGTCAAATAAATTAATTATAAATATTGAATGTAACCGATTACATTTCGTTCTGGGACAAGAAAAAACCAAATAGCGTATATTCACCCTTATATTATTTTGTGTCTTCTTAACGTGTTCACTTAAAAATGCCTAAACTAAATTTAAAAAAAAACGCAAAATAAATACTAATAATTCCTTAATAGCGAGCAAAGCTCGGTAACCAGATGTTATACTATACAGGGTGACTGGTGAATTACTATCAATATTTAAGGAGAATACTCGGTACATGATTCTCATTCGAATTATGTAAAAAAAAATAGGTACTTAATTTTTGACAAAATTTCCGTATAAATAAATAAAGTGTTGACACGTTCCAAGTGTTCCAAGTGTGGACGCGTGCGGCGGCGTGCTGATACAACACCACGCCGCCGCACGCGTGTGTGTGTGTGTGTGCATACCTAATCTGTATGGTGTTCACACGATGCGTAGTTAATTACATAACTTTTGGTTAACTTTACTTAGAAGTTTATTAATATTTATGTTATATTAATTTTTATTTTGTCATATATGGTCGTCAAATATCACGTCCTCAAGTATCGATAGTAATTCACCAGTCACCCTGTATATGATGAAACCTAATACCTGTTATATTTGGGTGACTAATGTGTAGATATTATTTACAGTTCGGAAGAGGCAGCGAAAATTGAAAATGAAAATCATCTCTAAAGAAACGAGAGAAAATGAGACAGGTATGGTATCAAATAAATATACTACAGATATTAAAAATAATTTATTAATAAGCCTAAAAAATATTAAGATATTTAAGTAAAATTTACATTAAAGTAATTTAGAAGAAATTATTACACGTTTTTTTTTTCAAATGAGTAGGTATTCATAAAATATAGTAAATATGAATACATTGAATGAGAGGTTTCGTCTCAAACTTTGAAAAAGATATTGTGTTTTAAAGGAAAAGATATAAAAATATTTGTTTTCTGGTTGTATAAATTTTTATATTAGTATTTCTTTTTTCAGTAAGATACAGCAGGCAGCCGTTAAAACAAAGATCGAACCCCGAAATATATGAATCACTACAAGACTTGATTGGTGAGTTTTTAATCAACAGTAAAAATGTTGTGTGTTTATGAAAGATAAACTTATACGCAAATTATAAAATACATTAAATTGTTACATTTTAATGTATATAGTATTTCGTATACTACGTATTTTTTATTCTATATCTACATGATCTCGACGTTTCGGTTACTTTACAGCACCCGTGATCATGAAGACGAGATGAAAATGTAAATTTAAATGATTATGTCATCAAAGTTTATACTTAATAGAATTTGACACAAGCTTGCACCAATAATTTGATAATAAAATAAAATTACAAACAATGAACACTTACATATATATAAAACTTATAATCTATATCTGATACTAGTTAATATTATTAATTATCATATTTTTCAGATGAACCACCCCCACCGCCCTCTATCGAGACATTGCCGAGTAAGTTTTAATAAACTTTTACTAACTACAAACGTGAATACTTCAATTTGGTCGTATTATAACAAAAATAATTTGGTAGCCGGTCATTTAACGTGACATTTAATAATGCTTTATTTATTTTTGATCGTTGAAAGTAAATATTTTAAAAAACAATTATATTCATGGTTCGTTAGTAAATTTCTTGTTTAGTTTTAACAAACAGAGTTTGGTGAAGCAGGACCTAAGGTCAATAAACTTACAAGTTCGGAGCGTCAACAGTTTTTCATAAAAAATCGTGGACATTATTAACGTAGGTTAATGAATGAAATATGGAAAATTATTTGTATATGTTTAATATGTTAATATAGATGAAACAATATGTAATTTTTAAAATAATCATATATGTATATGTATACATATATCGGCGCTATCAGCTTTAATGACGGATGCGATGTGAAAATAATTTGAAGTTGTCAACAATTCTTATTAAAAATCATTAGTATCTCTAACTCATGATTATTGTTAAAAGTAAAACGAAATCAAAGGTTGTTTAAAAGGAGAATAGAACTATGTTTAAATCTTGGTATAAATATGACGTCTGGACGCACGACGGCAGAGTTCAGTGAGTGTGTATCATTGAAGAATGTGATTATGAAGAACTTCGCAAAATACAGGAACATTAAGAACAATTGAAGTTTCATTTTAAAATATTATGAAACGTACTAGAAGAAGTGACATTTAGTGACGTCAGCGAGACTGGCGTCTCTCTCTTTAAAAACAACGAATTTGTAATAAATCCGATATATATATTAATCACAAATTTTACTTCGTCTATATTTATATATGAGAATTTATTGCAAACGGTGTTCATTAATATTATTTTATTTTAACAGGAAACAAGACGGTTCCGTTCAAGAAACAGTTGTCATTACCAGATGGCGCTTGCAATGGTTAGTTGTACGAAATATTAATATTGGATTTATTTAATATCTATGTAAAAAAACATAAATTGTATAAAAAGATATTCAATTAATCTTTTTTATTAGTTAATTTTTAGTTAATAAAATAATTTTCAGACAAAACATATGAGGAAAACTTTTATTGAGAGTGTATATTTTAGAGTTATATAAACAAATCATTGATAAATTTTATTAAGATTATAACAAGACTATTAGTAATGAATGTTGATGACTAAATTATCTTAAATTGTAGGACATTTTTTTTTATTCTAGACATAATTTTAATAATTAATTATTTCAACGTACAATAGAAATGTCAATATGTTTGACATTTAGTAACACACACACACACACACACAGATACAAACACAGTCACGCACACACGTGCACATTTAGTAATGCTTCTATTTTTGTTAAATTTCAGACAGAAAAATTACATGTCCTACTGAAAGGCCAAGATATCCCTTACCACACGAAACTGAGAGGACAGAAGGTAAGAACTTTGAATTATGAAATTCCGCATAAAAAGCACATTTATTCGAAATTTTCATACAAAGTAGATTTATATAAAAGTCGTGTTAAAATTTTAAAGTAATCTATATTATAAAACAGTAAAAAATTTTGCAAAAATCCTGACTATGTCCATATAGTTATAATTTAGGAAAAAGTAGGGTATTTGATAAAATATTTTATATTTATAAAATACTAGCTTTCCGTCCGCTGCTTCGCCCGCGTGTATTTCGGTTATATCCGTTTCCAAGAGAACCTTTCAAAAGTCTGGGATAAACACTATCCTATGTTCTTTCCCAAGGTCAACTCTATCTCTATACCAAATTTCATTAAAATCAGTTCAGTGGTTTAGGCGTGAAAGCGTAATAGACAGACAGTCAGAGTTACTTTGGCATTTATAATATTAGTAGCAATTTAAGTGATTTTAGTTGATTGTTTCAATTTTATATCAATGTATTATTATTATTTTTGATTTTATGTCAAATGTAAAGATATACATATAAGTAATTCTTTATAAATTAATAATTTTTAGTTCCACCGTTACTACCAAAACGAAGTAACTTCGCCACAATGCCAACAAGGACGCCAAAATTACGACGAATGCAACCTCCAATGAGTATGTAAATATATATATATATATATACTAGAAGACCCGGCGAACTTCGTATCGCCCTATAATCAAGAAATATCTGTTACGTTTCTTTATTTATATTTTTGGAGTTTACCTGTTAATGCTATAAAATCTCCGTGTTTTGAAGTGCGACAGAATGATTGACTTATTAGTTAGTTGTCAAATCTAATGTCAAAAAAAAGATTGTATCAACAACTACTAATAAATTAAAAATTTATGAAAAAAAATCACTGTCCAGCGGACAAAATTGTGAATCTAAACCATTCCCAGATCCCCTTGAACACACACTAAAAATTTCATCAAAATCGGTCCAGTCGTTTTAGAGAAATTCAGTGACTAACACACAGAAGAATTATATATAAAGTTTTATTTGACTATAATTAACATATTAAATTTGATTTAAACTAGAAACTACTTAAAATTGCAAACTACTACTTGTAAATAACTCGGTTTAAACTTATCGTGAAATGAAATGATGTTTTGAACACAGTAAATAACTGTCTATTAGTATATCACAGTAACGCGTCACGAACGACAATGAGTCCTGATCTATTGACACCTGCTTATACGGGGTGACTGGTGAATTACTATCAATATTTAAGGAGAATACTCGGTACATGATTCTCATTCCAATTATGTAAAAAAAATAGGCACTTAATTTTTGACCAAATTTCCGTATAAATAAATAAAGTGTTGACACGTTCCAAGTGTTCCAAGTGTGGACGCGTGCTGATACCACACCCCGCCGCCGTACGCGTATGTGTGAGTGTGTGTGTATACCTGATCTGTAGGGTGTTCACACGATGCGTAATTAATTACATAAAGTTTATTAATATTTATGTTATATTAATTTTTATTTTGTCATATATGATCGTCAAATATTACGTCCTCAAATATCGATAGTAATTCACCAGTCACCCCTGTATATGGTTGATGCTTCCCCCTCTCCTACACTCATATTCCTACAATATATTTACAGTATTAACCTTGCCAACAAAAGGACGTCTACCACAAAAGCATGGTCTGAACTTAACACACGCACAAAAACCCACTTGTAAGTAAAGATTAATTAAAGCCATAATATTTTTGTCTTATTACTAGCTGCGCCCCGCGGTGTTACCCGCGGATCTCCAGGATGTAAAGTAGCCTATGTATTATTCCTGGACGTCAGCTTCCTGTATACAAAATTTTATTAAAATCGCTTCAGCCGTTTGAGCGTGATAAAGTAACAAACATACACACACTCAGAAACTTTCGCAATTATAATATTAGTAGGATAAATAATAGAAATATGTCAATACTTAAAGGAATGGTTTAATGTAGGGAAAATAGGAATGCTTACATTTCTATGAAGAAGAAGGAATACAATAATTAGGACATAATAACAAAATCGTTGTTGCATAAGAACTTAAGAAGTACTTGAATTTAAAACTCTATTACTTTTATATATACAATGTTATTTTTGTTCGTTTTTATAAATAATTAAAATGCATGGAGTCTTTTGCAAAAATGAATTCAGGAAAAGATAAAAATAGATAATTATTGAACTAATATTGTTTAACGGGGTCTAAACTTTCACGAATATCAATTTCAATGAAAACACGAAACCTCTCATCATTCAATGTATTCATATGCGTGTGTCGGGTCCATCGTTGTAGTGAGAGGAGCTTCAACAATGACTGGGACTTGTGACCCAGGTGTAGGTTTAAGGGACCCTATCTAACGCGTTAAACGCTCACCTCCACCGTCCAAGCTCCCCTCTCTATTAACCAAATAATATTTTCGTATACTACTTGTATTTTATTATTTTAAACTACACGTACTATGACGTTTCGGTTACTTTGCAACCGTGATCACAACGACATGTTTATCACGTCATATTGTTTATTTAAAGGAAACTTTATTGAAACCGCATACAATTCACAATTGATGGCTCCATTCGATCTACTGCCTCTCATTCAGTCTCGCTCTTTCTATTCAGCCTAAGGAACGTTAAGTTTAAAACAGTGTTATCCTACCCACACTAAAATAACGTTAAACGTTAAACGCAACCATGGTGAAAGCGTTAGTTTCACCATAATGTTTAAATTAATGAGAACTAAGATCACTCAATCTTGTCTGCCCGTGATCACGGATGCTGTAAAGTAGCCAAAACGTCGAGAGTATGTAGTTTTTCATCAAAAATAAAATCCGACAAATATAAGTTTTTTCACATGTACTTTCTGAGAGTATTTAGACATCACTGACATACGGTGAAGGAAAACATCGTGAGGAAACCTGGACTTATAGTTTCATAATTATAAGTTTGAAATCACCAACCCGTCTTGAGCGAGCGTGGTGATTAATGCTCAAACCTTCTCCATGAGAGAAAGAGGCCTTGCTCAGCAGTGGGCCCTGATAGGCTGATGACAATATAAGTTTCATTTTAATGGCTTAATTCAACAAAGTCGATATTTACAGTCCATTCACAAATATCCCCGGGATATCGAAGTCCCCAAGACATCAATAGCATACCCACGGAGCACTTTCGGTACATCAGATCGCCAGAAACGAATCGTAAGTAAAATATTTTACTTTGTTTTCAGACCATCCTGTTTATAGAATACAATATGTTCAACTAGAAATATGTTTCAACTAGCTTTCCGTCCGCAGCTTCGCCCGCGTGGAGTTCGGTTATATCGCGTTTCCAAGAGAACCTTTCAAAAGTCTGCGATAAAAACTATCCTATGTTCTTTCTCAAGGTCAACTCTATGTCTGTACCAAATTTCATTAAAATCAGTTCAGTGGTTTAGGCGTGAAAGCGTAACAAACAGACAGACAGAGTTACTTTCGCATTTATAATATTAGTAGGGATATTGTTAATGTTCACATCAATTTGTCCAGTTACTATTATATAAACTGTTACTTATTGTTCGTAATAAATCTTTTTAAAAAATAATATATAAAATTTTCGATTGTACATATTTGAAATTAAACTATGTTTTTTCTGATATACTACGTGCATATATTGTCTTCTACCTGGCAATTTACCAGATTTAGCCAGGGTCTGCCTTACATGTTGTGAATAGTTTTGGCTAATTTTTTTCACGACCGGCCGCCTGCCTGGCATCAACCCTCTTTGGGAATGCATTAATCGTCCATATATTGTATTAACTTATATTTTCTCACCGTTTCGGCTACATTACACCAACCGTGGTTGGACACGTATAAACGCGTACTATTCCAAAAAACATAGTTTCATTTCAAATACTTAGTTATATTTAAGTATCACTTAATAGCTCATGTTAAATGTGTACCTAATTTGAACGAAATCTAATTTCCACTTGTAAGAAATACAGTTAATACAAATATAATCTAGTCATATTGCATACAACATTAATTAAAACAAAAAAATTGTTTATTATGCTGAGAATAAAATAATAAAATCACTTTATTTCCTACAAATAGACAAATAAGAACTTAAAAACTAAAACAAAGACCTTAAATTAATATTAATATTATGATTAAGCACAAGCTTGACCGCAAAATAACAATTAGCCTACCCCTTGATAGTGTGTGTGTATTTTGGACCAATGCTCTAACAAATATCCTACATTAATGCTCGAGCAAGCCTTAACTAATGAGTTATTGTTTTGAGTATATCTCTTCCAGGTGCTCGCAATTCTTACACGCATCAGTGCCCAGAAACCGTGTACTCTCTGTAGAAAAAACTGATATTTATTATATATTTTTTTTAGTCCTGCCCTCGTATAAGGAACAACGCATACACCAAAACCACATACGCCCGCAACAGAAAGTTCAAAGTACATTCATTATTATATATTATTTGTTTTCATAATATTTTTAAATGTTTTCGTTTATTTAATTTAATTGAATTTTTAGAGCCGAACATCGACAATGAATTGATGCTTAAATTGAAGAAAAGAGCGGCCTGTAAGTAAAGATAATATTATGAAATTAATTGATTAATATTTTAAAAAAATACAAATATATACGGAATACTAGCATTCCGCCCGCAGCTTCGTCTGCGTGGAGTTAGGTTATATCGCGTTTCCAAGAGAACCTTTCAAAAGTCTGGGATAAAAACTATCCTATGTTCTTTCTCAAGGTCAACTCCATCTCTGTACCAAATTTCATTAAAATCAGTTCAGTGGTTTAGGCGTGAAAGCGTAACAGACAAACAAACAGACAGACAGAGTTACTTTCGCATTTATAATATTAGTAGGGATTATTCCTGTATTATCTGGTTAATATTTGTCATATTTGATTACTAGTTTTTATATTTATAATATTAAAAATTTAATATTAAAAAAACTTTGTATTAATATAAGCATTATGTTTTTCAGTATTATCAGAATCTTCCAGCTCATCAAACGAATTAAACAACGAACATTTAAAAGGAAATCAACAAATCAACTTCAAATATCAAACACAGAAGTTTTTTAAACGTAATTAAATCTCATATTATTATTACATTTTATAACATAGATTTTTCATTATATACATGAAATAAATAGCCTAAATACAATATTTTTAATACCAACTTCATACAAAAAATAATATTAATAATTATTATTATGAAAATTTTACATTTACTTATATTTAAAGTCGGTAAAAAATCTCATTTTCAGCTCTACCGAACACACGACGTGATTCAGGTATGAAAATATAGTTTTTTAATAAAATATAAATTACTAGCTTTCCGCCTGCAACTTCGCCCGCGTGGAGTTCGGTTATATCGCGTTTCTAAGAGGACCTTTCAAAAGTCTGGGATAAAAACTATCTTATGTTCTATCTCAAGGTCACTCTATGTCTGTACCAAATTTCATTAAAATCAGTTCAGTGGTTTAGGCGTGAAGGCGTTACAGACAGACAGAGTTACTTTCGCATTTATAATATTAGTAAGGATATAATTATAAGTAAATTTATGTTTCAATTACTTTCAGAATACTCTTATGGTTGGGTTGACAACTTCAACGAAATTGTGCCATTGGAAGAAATAAACTTGTACAATATGTAATAATGTAAATATGTTATATATTCGGGAATAGTTCAAATCCTCGTAACTAGCATTGTATAATTCCACGTATCTACATTGGAAGCAGATCAAAAGATAGTTTAAGATGAAATATTTTCTATATTAATGTCTTTTAGGGCAATTTTTTCACAATTAATAATAAATTAAACACTAAATAATTACTTATTGTGAAAAAAATACCTTAAAAGTTGTTAATATATAAAATATTTCATCTTAAACTTTCTTCTGATAATCTACTTCCAATGTAGATACGCGAATTATTCAGTGATAGTTACGTATATTTGCACTATCCCCGACTATATGTAAAAATAAAAGATAATTAATTCATATAAATAATATTTATTTCTTATCATCTGTTAGTTCAATTTTTTTAGTATCTTGTATAATTTCGTCGATCCTATGTAGATCTTTTAGCGACATTTCACCAGATCCCCTTTCCATTGGTTTTGGTTGTGAAGGATCTGGTTTCCATCCAAGGAAATTGATTATTTGGAAGGTAGCTGGTACACCCCTCGTATTACGATCCGGGATTTCCTGAAAATTAAATATAAAATCCATAATAACATCTAAGATAATGAGATCTAAGATTTTCGCAAGTACTCATTTAAATGAAACTAATATTTTCGGATTTACGCGTTTTTTTTGGCCAAAAAGGTTAAGGAAGTTTTTTCATTTATAAAACGCGTTTTTTTAATTTTCTTAATTTTTTATATTTAGACGATATCATAATCACATACATACATGAACGAAAACTTTCCAAGTACACTCTCTTTACCCAATACTTTATAACTATTAAATATATATTATTTACAATCAATATACCAGTATAACATTTCGTACGCTGAATTTGATATAAATTTTAAAACAAAATCTTTGTTTTGTTTCAAAAGAGGTATATAATAATTTGAACAAGAATACAGTTTAATTCTAGCTGAAATCATGCAAAATAAATATGTGTCTACTTCATTTATATAAGAGCGTCACCTAATCATCCTATTAGAGTCCACTGCTGAGCAAAGGCCTCTTCTCACATGGAGAAGGTTAAAGCATTAATCACCACGCTTGCTTAAGAAGGGTTAGCGATTTCAAACTTATAATTTGATATAAGTCCATGTTTTCTCACAATGTTTTCCTTCATCCGTCAGTGATGTCTAAATACTCTTAAGTACATATGACTCGGAAAATTCACATTGGTATCAGAATCGAACCCGAGCCCTCGATCAGAGAGGCGGGCCTTTAACCACCAAGCCACTACTGACTTTTTCTATCTATAATAGCAATATCTATATTCTATAAGAGCTATATATCTATCTACCTTTTCGCTGCACAATTTCCCCAAATCGAAGGGTTTCTGGCAGAAATCGCTACTTATCGATAAGACCGCCTTTTTGTCCATTTCAATTTATTATTATTTTTTCCGTGTAAAATTTACTGTTTGTGGTGTACAATAAAGTATATTCTATCTATCTATATCCATACCTTGCCATACATTTCGTCGTATATAGCTGCCGCTGCGAATTGAACATCTTTCCTTAGTCTTATCGGCCTGGAGACAGCCGCTGCCCCTTCGCCAGACATTCGGACATCTTTCATCACATCCCACGCAGATGGATACCAAACAGTGAGTGAATCTACGTCTACCGTCTGTAGAGTAAACCCAGCACTAGATAAAAACATTTGATTATATTACTAGGACTAAAATTATAAGCAAAAAATCTTTAAAATCTATCTAAAACAAACTGAAATCTGACATATATCATCATCAGCCTATCAGAGCACACTGCTGACCTGAATTTGCACACATGGAGAAGGTTTGATTAATCACTATCTTTGATCAAACGGATTGGTGATATCAAACTTATAATTTGATAATTAAAGTTTTCCTTGACCGTCTGTTAGTGATGTCTAAATACTAAAGTACATATGACTCGGAAAAATCACATTGGTACTTGCTAGGATCGAACCCGCGCCCTCAGAGAGAGGCCACCACTACTGACTTGTAAGTAAAGTAAGGATATATAGTTGTATAATTTATATGTCTGTCCTACATATATACAGGGTGACTGGTGAATTACTATCAATATTTAAGGAGAATACTCCACACGATGCGTAATTAATTACATAATTTTGGTTAACTTTACGTAGAAGTTTATTAATATTAATGTTATATTAATTTTTATTTTGTCATATATGATCGTCAAATATCACGTCCTCAAGTATCGATAGTAATTCACCAGTCACCCTGTATATATAATTAAATATTCTATTAATACTCACGCGTTCATAAGCCCTCCTAGATCTCGTACACCAGTGAATGGTGAGACGTGTTGATGCATACCACCAAGCCGTTCCATTTCAGCCAACTGAATAGCTTGACGCAACTCCATTAGAGTTCCAGAACCAAAAACACATGCTACGAACACCTGGAAATTGGTTCACGTCATGAGAAGAAACCTCTCATCATTCAATGTATTCATATGCGTGTGTCGGGTCCATCGTTGTAGTGAGAGGAGCTTCAACAGTGACTGGGACTTGTGACCCAGGTGTAGGTTTAATATATATAGAGAGACGAAACCTCTCATCATTCAATGTATTCATATGCGTGTGTCGGGTCCATCGTTGTAGTGAGAGGAGCTTCAACAGTGACTGGGACTTGTGACCCAGGTGTAGGTTTAATATATATAGAGAGACGAAACCTATCATCATTCAATATATTCATATGCGTGTGTCGGGTCCATCGTTGTAGTGAGAGGAGCTTCAACAGTGACTAGGACTTGTGACCCAGGTGTAGGTTTAAGCCTATCTAACGCGTTAAACGCTCACCTCCACCGTCCAAGCTCCTCTCTCTACCAAATTTGAAAAGAACCTACTAGGACTGCCTTCAAAGTGCGTTACAGGTATGTATTAATGTTATCATTATCAGACCAAAAACATCTTGATTGCTAGAAAATCTGAGTAACTACAATCAAAAAATACTTAATTACGTTGCGAGGAAAGAAAAAAATTGATATTTAACCAAAAATTAATATATAAACACTTTAGACATTTTTGCAAAAACCTATTAATATAACCCACTTATAAACCATGGCAAATGTATTATTATATTTGCTTAAAACTCCATACAAGGAAGTTATTAACTAAGAAATGTAAAAAACTTCTAAAATGCCCAAAAAAGACATACCCCATCCGGTTTCAAACACTGCATGACTTTGTCGAAACAACCTGGCAGGTCATTGACCCAGTGCAGGGCCAGAGATGAAACAAATAAATCTATACTGTTGTCTGGAAACTGAAATAAATTTTAATATATATATAGCTTATAAATATCTTGTGTTACACTATATTGTATACATACTTCATAATTATACCCAAGATTTTCAATAAAAAAATATTTAAAATGATTTTTTTATTACAAGTTTTTATTATATTCAGTACTTTATATATTCATAGATTGATGGTCTCTTTAATGTGTATAACATGAATAATATTACATATAAACAACATTTAATATGAAAATATTTACTTAAAAGTACAAAAAATATCTGCTTATTCACTATTTTCAGGTAAACAAACATACTCACATCAAAATTTTCTTCATCCATAACAATTTTCTCATACTTTACATCGTCACCAATAATCGCCTTATCGAGATGTGTTTGTGACGAGTCACATAGGGTAACCTTCTCGACACTGTCGGGAAGAAAATGTCGAGACACATAGCCTCGTCCGGCACCTAAACTAAATAACATACTCCTAAAGTGTTATGTAATATTATACTTGCTCGCTAGTATTAAAGTAATGTGATGTCAAATATAATTTTTTAATTTTCTTCTAGGATCACACTTCTGCTAACCTTTTCTTGATATATCTTTGATATAAATGTGTTTTATCAGAGGCAATAAGTATAAAAAACAATGAGTCAATGTACTATTATGAGTGTAAATTGTGTATGTACCTAAAACATTGCACAACTATCAACAAACCTATAAGGAAATACTTATTTTAATAGATCAACAGAGGCTTGGCTTTCACCTAAATTTCTATAATTTGTATAACTCAAGAACTAAAAAATCTGATATCAAAATTTAGTCCGACCAGTCAACTTATATATGTAATAATATTAACACTAAGTTAAAAGTGGCTATTAAGTTATACAGCCTTTTGTATGTCTTAAAATTTAATATATTATTTTTTGTTTTCAGTTCGGAATCAAAAGGTTGATAGATTTGAAAAAGATCTTAAATAATAGAAATAATTTAGCAGTATTACATATTCCTTTGATAATTATTACTCACCTAACTCGACGGCGTTTTTGAATGTTCGTTTTATATCAAATATTCTATCCGCGGTTCTCCAACCGATTTCTTCTTTAACATATTCATACAAATGATAATCCTCGCTCCTCGCTGATCGTTCCCTCTGCAACACCTTCGCTTTCCTATCAAATATATTCATAGTTTTGTATACAGAGCTCGCTGTTTTCTTTTTAACATTAGAACTTTGGTGTCTGATATTACGTAAATTTGATTTTATATCAAGTATTTCTCTAATACAGAACACGCGACATAAAGAACTAGATATTTTAGTTTGAGACATTTTATGTAATAATGGCACCTATAGATATTAGATTAGTATGTTTATTTTGAAATAAATGTTTTCATTTCTACGAGTAATTACAGGTTAAGTGTCAATTTCTAATGATAGTTGTTTCCAATTGACAAATTAAATTTGTTATCAATGTAGGTGGTAAAAAAAAGATACGAATATTTAATTATATATTTGAATTAATTGGTCATATAATCATTATGGTATAAAAACCATAAAAAAACCATACAAATTTAACTTAAATACTTTGTCATATAACTTATTAATATTTTCTTATTTTATTTCTTCTTCTTCACTCAAATTATTTTATTTACAAATATTTGTCATTTTTTTTGCACTAGCAACATTATTCGCAAAGTTATAGAATAATATTTACTATTAAAACTGTTATTACTATAAAAAATATATTGTATTAATTATTAGTACATCCTGAAGACATAATAGAATTATTGTATAAAAGTATGGGTTTATATTTTATTTATATTTAGAGTTTAATGAAATATGAAATAGTTATAACCTAAAACAATAATATCAGTCTTATGAAGATTTAATTTAACAAACACAATGTAAGTAAAACCAAATTCTTGTCAAATTTTAATTACATTATCTTTTCTATAAGAAAACTATATTATTATATAGTTTAACTCAATTTCTATAGTTGAAAACATAATCACTTATAAGCAAAATATACAAATACAAATAAAATATGTAAAAAATATGTTTCGCATTTCGCTAGTTGTATATTCACCGTAATGTTTATATTTGTTTTCAGATGTGGCCTATTATAATGCAGTTTCTGCGTTCCAACGCTACTTACATAACACTCCCTGTGGCAGCGGTCGTCGGTATCATAGGCTACAACTTGGAAGGACTTTTGTCAGATAGATATACACCTTACAATAGTATGTACAGCTTTATATATATATGAAAAATTCTAAAATAATATAAGATAATTACAAGTACCTTAAACTACTATGAGATGCCGAGCAGAAACTTCAATATCTTTTACCAATCTCCGGTAATCGTAGATGTGTGAAAATCAAAATTTTTGACAAAATTAATGTTAATAAACACATTAAAATCAGATAATTATAACATAATCTCTATGTGATTAGTTTATTTCTTAGTTTATAAAAACCTATAAATAATACAAAGATTTACATCACCAATTATAGAAGCTTCTTATAGTATTACAGAATGAGAAATTACAGCTCCATAATAACTAATTATTAAAAATATATAATGTTTTATAAAATTTATATAAAACCTCTTTTATTATTAATATATTGTGCACACTAAAAAAGTTTTGTAAGTATAAAGTGCTACCAACAGATGGGGAAATTATTTTTATTTTATATTAATATTAAATTACTTTTATATAGAAAAAATACACAAAACCCAAGTTTTTGTTAATTTTTTTTTCAGAACCAGTACAAGATCAAAGATTTGAAAGACTTGAAGATGAGATGTTGAAAGATCCGACAAATGTAGAGAAACTTAAATACAAGGAGAATGTGTTAGGAAGAAATGTTTCACCTTCATTGAGTAAAGACTAAATAGTCCAATAAACATATATACAGGGTGACTGATGAATTACTATCAATATTTAAGGAGAATACTCGGTACATGATTCTCATTCGAATTATGTAAAAAAATAGGTACTTAATTTTTGACAAAATTTCCGTATAAATAAATAAAGTGTGTACACGTTCCAAGTGTTCCTAGTGTGGACGCGTGCGGCGGCGTGCTGATACAAAACCACGCCCCCGCCGCGTATGTGTGAGTGTATGTGTATACCTAATCTGTAGGGTGTTCACACGATGCGTAATTAATTACATAACTTTTGGTTAACTTTACTTAGAAGTTTATTAATATTTATGTTATATTAATTTTTATTCTGTCATATATGATCGTCAACTACCACGTCCTCAAATATCGATAGTAATTCACCAGTCACCCTGTATATTGTTACCAGATAAAATTTCTTCATTATGCCCTTTTATGGGAGTAGATAGTCAAGCTTTGATAATATTATAACAAAAAATTACTGTTTTGTTTTGCTTTTGGTACATATAGAAACCAAAAACTACTTAAAGAAATATTTCTCTGTAATCTATCAAGATTATAGCTACTGGTTAGAAATTCATATATTAAGATGTTATTGTAAATAAATAGTGTCGCAAACAGTCAATTTACTTAAAAATGTTATGTGGTGTCAAATTAACGTAGATAGTAAATAAATATTGATAATAATAAATGTTGAAATTATTGTACTTTTTATTTCATGAAATCACCTGTTAAAAGTGCAAAATGAAAAGTAAAACATGTGTGTATTAATTTGAAGTAGCATGCGACATCCTTTTTAAATACTTTTAATTTTATTTATAAAGGATTTTCATAATTGATTTTGATATTTTAGAATCAGATAAACTGTAAAATTAAGTATTTATTTAATTTTTTCGTCTGGCAACAAAAGCTATGTCAATGTTAAAAAGTTATCGCTGTCATTAGCATTTAGCTGTAGAAAAAAAAAACCAACGCGCTTCGCTTCTCTTTTGGAATTTATGGTACTGTAACAAGGCTCCCTTTTGTGTTTCACATCGGGAAACTTTAAAATTTTCGGATACAATAATGTCAACAATGCGCTAATTGCTTTAATAATAGCAATAACACACGATTAAAGTTATTTTATGAGAAGAACAGTTCTTTTACGGATCAATATCCAAGTCTGTAAAATGTCTCCATAGCGTCGATGCAAATGGAGACAAAGTCTGGCGTAGGAATTAATGACCATTGGATGAAAAGTATGATGGAGCCGGCCGGCAGCGACAAACAAATACAGAACGACAATAGAAACTCTGTGAAGCGCGAAAAAATGGCAGAAGCTTACAACGGTCAGGACAATAATATAACTTACGAGTTGAAACAGCAAGGCGAAGGGAGGTATCGTTGTGACGTCTGTGATCTCACCTTCGAGGGCATGGAGTTCTTGATGTTGCATAAAAAGTTCCACGGGAACGACAAAGACGCGCCGGTTATGGAGCCCGAGCCGGTCGTAATTAAAGAGGGCCCGAAGAAGCGGAGGAAGTTCAAATGTGACCAGTGCGATGTGAAGGTCAACTCACAATACCATCTAGACATACACCACAGCAAACACGAAGGTAACGCCTCCAAGAAATATATATGCCAAGTATGTGATCGGAGCTTCGTGGCCGCGCAGTTCCTGAAGAGTCACATGCAGTCCCATTCTTTAACAAGCACGATAAACTGTGAAATATGCAACAAGAGCTTCACCGGACAAGCATATCTCAAACTCCACATGCAATTACACAACGACATCAAGAAATTCAAATGTTCGAAGTGCGATGAGATGTTCCCGACCAAGAACTGCCTTAAAATACACATGAAAAAGCATACAAAGGTCAAAAACTTCAAATGCGACTGCTGCCACAAGTTATTTGTATCTAAGATCACTATGGAGAAGCATCGACAGAGCCACGAGGGTCAACCGATGGATTGTCATGTGAAATGCACACAATGCGACAGGACCATGCATTCGTCGTTACTGAGGACCCACATTGCCCGAGCACATCCGTCAAGCCACGACGATGATGTAAAAAGACCATACAAATGCTCGACTTGCGGGAAAAGTTTTATCGTTAAAATTAATCTCAATCTACATATAAGAATGTGTCATCCCGACCTCGCTGAGCCGGAGGACGAAGACGATGATGTCATGACCGACAATTCCTAACTATAAGTCTAGTTAATCAACTACATGTATTATTAACGAATAATTATACTTTTCTATTCTAACAATATATATGGGTTTTATTTTAAAAATGATAATTTAATTAAATATTGAAGTAATTCATGTATGTATAAAATTTTAAATCGTCTTGTTATTTTCAAACTAGCTAGGCTAAGCTTATAACTTATAATAATGAAGCAATTTTCTAAATATTTCTTTATTTACATAACTATATAAAAGCTTTACAAATTGATTTTAATGACTTATTATTCTTGCTTCTTCTCATCGTTTAAATCATTATCTTGAGGTTTTTCCGAGTCATCTGTTTCAGTGATTTTGTTTTCCTTAGCCTCTTTCTCAGCTTCTGCTGCTGCCTCCTGTTAAAAAATACATTATTAGGCATATTGTATAATATGTAGAAATCATGAAATTCTTCTCAATGTCATTATGGATTAAAATTTTGCTAAAGTTGGTAACAGTGTTATGTTGGTAATTGGTTTTCTATCTGATGCTAATATATATAATAAAGGGATCATTTAATTAGAAATATTTCTTCCTTATGTGTACTAATTTAAGAGATTTCATTGATAAAGCTTTTATTGTGGAAAAAAGTGTCACTCGATTAGGCTAAGAAATTTCCCAAATTAGATGATAGTGAGAGATTCAGACAAAAAAATTACAGTTTTATGTAAAGGTTTGGTTGATTTGTAGTTTCATTTAGCTAGGATAAGTTAGTGATTTTTCAGTAGGCAGAAGAATGGGGCGCCAAAAAAGTTATTTAGTCTCAAAGTGCGTAGTAGATAAAATAAGTTTGAGAACCCTTACCCTAAAGCCTATTTGATATTTATAAAAAAAACGTTGCCTACGAATTATATAAAGATAAAATTCTATACGGGTGTCGACCAAATGTAAAAAAAAATTCGACAACTAGTTTGGAAATTACAGTCAAGAATTACACAAAACGGAAGCTTTGGATTATATTCTAATTACCGATAATTTTAAACTTTTATACTACTTGTGACAATTTACCCCAATGTATAGTTTTCAGAATGATGTAATTATAGAGATGATAATACAGATAAAACTTTGAGCAATTTTAATAAATGCTGTATTAAAACAGCGTTACATGCTGTATTAAAACACGTTGATTTAGATAAATAATAAAAATTTATGTGTAAACAATTAGAGTAAATGACAAATAAAAGTAGTTCATTAATAAGGCTAATCATAAATGTCAAATATTGAAATCGTACTTGTAAAAACCCTTAAATAAATCCTTTTTTTGGTGCAATTGTAATTTTAAGTAGTATAATATAAAAAGGTTAAAAAAAATAATGCAAATAATATTTAAAAATCAGGATTTCGTTTTTTTTTTTCATTTCCGAACGCTCTGAAATTAGGTAGGTATAAAGTTTAACTTGTAAGATTAGATCTAGGTTCTAGACAATCATTTAATGCCTAAACGGACTTACCGCTGCCTTTTTCATGTCATCTTCCTTCTTTTTCTGCAGATTTTTGCTGACTTCCCTTATAAGCTGCAGCTCTTCATTTATTTTCGGGGACAATGGATCAAAAATGTTAATCGGTACGACGTTCTGGTCATCGATATGAGCCATATACTCTTCGAACCTGTTGCATAGTAGGTTGTACTTCTCTTCTGAGATTTGTAGATACGAGTTGTAAGGCATATTGTAGCTGCAAAGAAATACTACTTAAAAAAACATATCTATTTTATGACAATTAATTAAAAGTATTACAAAAAATATATATTTCTATAAATAAATAGTAGTTATTTGAACAGTATAATCGTGCGTACATAAAAAGCTATAAATAAAAAAAACAATTTCAGTTTAAAGTTTATGCTAACTGCTTCGAAAAAACTATGGCTCTATTTAGGAAGTCCAAGATGACTTAAGTGTATAATATTATAATATTTAAAATACGAAATAAATAATTAAATCGACTTACCCGTGTTAGCGAGCGTGAACAACAAAAATTTCAATAGTATACGTAATAAAATAATTCTTATTTTTCGTATATCCATATGAAACAGTTGTTGTCAACATTTTTAAAATATATCCTTGGTTTTACTAAAAATCGATTCAATTACAGAGTCAGTGCAATTTATATCGGATTTATATTGACGTAATAAAAACTTAAAAATAAGTCTTTTATAAATGAAAAAAATGTTAAATGCTTTGATCATACTTTCTTATTATCTAAATATAGCAATCTTTCCACTAATAATTTACATGATTTTCTTGTATATTTTTATATAATTATTTCAGATATGTTTATTATCAAAATTTAACTGCTGTCAACTTCTGAGGTCAAATGTCATTGCTATATGTTCGATCGAAACAAATTATAATTTTTAATTTACAACATAATGCATATGTAGAAAATGCTTTTGTATCTTAAACAATTGAAATATTATTAGTCGTTTCATTAATATGTAACGTATATTTATTATTTGTTAACGCATTTTAAACGCATAGAAATAATTAAACTTATAAAAAATAAAAAAGTACTTGTATTGAAAAAGCTTTTTAAATTAATATTATGAAATAAAAGAAACAACATGCTTAAATGAATATTTTAATGAATTAAATTTCATCTTTAAAGTAAGACTAATCAATTCGGAAAGCTGATAGAAAATTTAATAGCATTTAAATATGTATCAATGGAAATTGGGTCGCCATTGTTAAAAGAAATTTGTTTTAATATTATATAAAGTATTGCCTGATACAATAAACACTGTTTGAGACTCAGATTTAGAAAGAAATTTTAAAGACACACATATTTTACCAAATTTATAATAAGAAGCTTATTAAATAAATTGGCTATGTATAAAAATATTTATTTCATATCTAACTAACATGTTTAAAAAATATATTTCATAGATTATTATTTTAACTCTATTTAAATAAAGCCATATATATTTTTTGTAACATTCAATCCAATCTCATCAATATAAAAAAAATTAAACCAACGAATGTTAAAAAAACAAGCATATATTAAAAATATACTTATTTATAATAAATAAATTTATTTATTGATACAAATTAAATTTATAACATATATATTAAATAACGAAACGTAAAACGGAACGCAAAACCAACCCCTAAGCTAATGACTCACCCCAGTGATAAAACGAGTGTCCCAGCTATAGGGAAAACAAAAAGAAACACATTTTTTTAATAAAACACGCTTACGTAATATTATAATATATATAGAAATTAATTTGGAACATATAATATATTAATTTGTTATAGTTAAATTATTTATATGAACTGTGAGAGTGTTACTGTGTTTATTGATTTTTTCCAGTGACGTACAGACCAACGTTCTGCACCAGTGTGCTTATATGTGTTTTATATTAATATAAAGTGAGTTTTCAAATATATATATACAGATATATAATCTGTCACATATATATATATAACAATAATACAGAATATATATATTTATATATTAATATAACATATAATATGTATAGATTTATGTAATTTAATTTAATTTTTATTATAGGCACCTAATATAATTTATAATTATGATTGAAAGATATCGATCCCAGTGTTCGTACTAATACATCGCCACTTACTTTGGTTTAAAAAAGAAAATTACTAATCGATACGCAAAAATAATAATTAAATGATTACATTCACATATAAAACCGTCAATAATAGAAAAAAAACTAAAAATAAATACGTATATCATTAATAAAATGATTATTGAAGGTTTTAGTAAAAAATAATTTGTTGTATTTCAATACGTATTCAAAAAACAGCAAAAAAAAATGACGGAAACTGTCAAAATTATATTAGTAATTGATTTTCATTGACAATAAATATATTGATCTTCTTAATAATATACAAAATCAAATAAAAAGCGTATTTTTTCTTATTAGAACATATTTTTATTATAGTAAACTAAATATTTTAGCTATATAGCAATAATTTTTTTTATATATTATTTTTAATTTAAAGTAATGTATAATTTATATAACAAAATACATATTAACTCAGTTCTCATATTTAAATAAAAAATAATATCGAAATTATATATACAGAGTTAGAAAAAAAATGTTTTATAATCGTTAAGAAACCAAAACATTTGATTATACGTAACTATTAAAAAAACACAAAATAATATTTTTTTAAATTAACATACATTAAAACTATACACTGAGAAAATATATTTAAAAAAATAAAAGAATTTTAATTATTTAAGTCTAAAAAATATATAATAAATGAAATACGCAAGTAAATAATAAAATTAATATAAATTAAGAATAATATAAAATATTTATCTTAAAAATCATATTATAACTTATAAAATGTCAAATATTATCTGTCGGAACTTTCAAAAATAATTATTTAGCCAACTAATTTATTTAAAACCTAAAATTGAGACTTTTCGTTTAAAACACAAATTAATTGATTTCTTTAAACTTATCCGCGTGATTTAATATTATAATTAAAATAGTAAATATATATATATAAAAAAACATACAGCGATATATTTACAATTTCATTATTAATAGAATAGAAAAGGATAGCTATATTACTTTGACAGAAATGTCTCGTAAATTTAAGGTTCGATTATTATTGAAGAAAAAGCAATTTATAGAAAATAGCTTAATATCAGACATTAATATATTTTTTACTTTTTAATTCCATAATCCCAAGTATATTAACTCTTTTAAAACCACAATAAATAAATAGTCGTTCAGTATTGCGGTATTATCGGTATTATCGGCATCAAAATTATGTTAAAAGCTTGGAATGAAGCCAATATATTGAGTTTTACTCCAACTTGCTATCTACATTGTTAAACTTATGTAACTTACCTAACTTGGTACTATTCAGTAATCTTAGATTCAATTAAATTAAATAACCAATAACGCCTGTTAAAAAAATATAGCAATTACGAATCTTCGTTTAATGCTATATAATTTTGACAGGCGCTAAATATTTTTTTTATTTAAAGGCATGCCCGTCCATTTATATGGAATATATTTAACACAAAGAAGACCTAATTATGGTGAATTCATTTGATGTTTTATCTTGACAAGTTAAAATGGAAAATAGCAATAGCACGGCCGTAGAGGCCTACCAATATGTCGGGCCTTTCAGATTGGAGAAAACACTCGGAAAAGGACAGACAGGTAAGAAAAAACAATAAATACATTTATATCATTTATTATAAGAATGAAAATTATATATTCATTAGTTTTTATAATAACAATACTCTTTTATAATCTGTGGTAGTTCTTCTAACATTTATATATATCTGTATCTTTGCACGCGTCTTTTATTATCGGATTCGTCCAAAACCAATCTGAACAGTGAATTTGACAGCAGCGGATCTGTAAAAAAAAGATTATATATATACATATAACTATTATTATTATATCATTATAAGAATTTATTTAACACTGAATTACTTTTATTTTTTTATATTTAAATTTCATATATATATTAAAAGATTTGTATTACAGACGTGAAACTATATATATTTATTTTGACAACACTAATTTGTCAATTTTTTAACAGGTGACATATCGATTTTGTAAAAGTTATTATATATATATATATATATATACTAGCTGACCCGGCAAACGTTGTTTTGTCATATAAAAAAATATGATTAGGTGATAAACAAGTGAAAATTTTTTGTTGCTTATATTTTTTCATGCTACATTATCAAAAAGTAAAAACAAAAAATTTCGTCCGAAAATATTAAAAAAAATAAAGGGTGAAGAAACCTTATGAGTTAGGGGTATGAAATAGATGTTGGCCGATTCTCAGACCTATTCAATATGTCCACAAAATATCATTAAAATCGGTCAAGCCAGCCACGAGAATTTTATTTATAAGATATACATATACATTAAACTAAATAATATTATACCGAAATAGAATAATGTAAAAAATACATTATAATAAAAAAAAAACTTATAATTCAAACAAAATAAATGAATAAAAACAATATTTTTTAAATCGTAGTTCAAAAACAGTTTTACACAAAGTCGTGTGAAGTTGTTCCGTCCCAGTTCCTGCATACACGTGAAATGGCGGCAACACTAAATATTTTTAAACAGCTTTTTCAATTTAAAAGCAAGTTTCCGCTTTGACGTTAAAATAAATAAGCGTTTTGTAAATCTGTGCACATTACTTTTATTCTTATATTGTGTTAAAATGTTTTATGAATATAAAATATTAAGTAGAAGAATAAAGATGTCCTTTGACTGGGATTTGAATGCATGTACATTGAATTTCCTCCTTTGTAACTCAAATATTCTATAAATAGAACTCAGGTGTATGGAAATCGATTGCATTAATGTTACACGTAACTTGATTTTGTACTTACTAGACTGTTATTTACTAACAAACACTATTAAAATAAAATAATTACATATATAAAATAACAAAACTTTTTTTTTTAATTGATAGATTGACAATCCATAAATAACATTTTCAGCGAGCCACAGATATACACAAAAAAGTATTTATGCATTTTATTTTTATAACCAACGAAAATTTATATAAAAATTATTAATGAATACGCTTATAATTAAATCTAAATGACTTTTCATTATTTTAATATTGAAACAAGTCTTTTTGTTTACTACAAAACAAAAATGGCCACATGACATGTGACATTTCCCGGCGTGGATGTAGGA